TTTATATCATATGTAGCTTAGCGTTAATAAATAGTTAACGTGAAATTTAAAATTTCAAGCTTTCCTATATCTCGAATGATAAAAAAAATCATTTGATTTGCTTTTATATTATATATTAAAATTAGGTTTTGCTATAAATTTTTACTGTAAAACAATTTAATCTTTAGATAAAAGCAAATTTTCACTAATTACTTAAGTGTACGCGAATTTTTATATGGATGAAAGTTGTGATAACATTTTCATTTTTATTAAAAACAAGTAAAGTTATATCAGTTTTAGCTTGGTCTCAACAGTATAAATGTAAATTTACATAATTATATCATTTATAGTTGATTAATAAATGAAAATTATAAAAACGCGATAATTAAATTTTAATTGAAGTTTTTAAGCAAGCTATAGAAAAGCTTGGGAACTTTATCAAAACCTAAGCTACATATGGTGTAGATTTAATGGGCAAAAAAATTTTTGCATAATTAACAAAGACACGAATCCTGACTCTTTTGTCTAAATCGCAGTTCAAATGGAGTTTGAACTGAGGTTCAATCAAAACAATTAAACTACAATTTAAAGTATGTAAGCCACAGTTCAATCCATATATTTATGCATTGCACTAACGAAAATTCAAGTTAATCTAATATTAACATTAATATAGTCTTATCAGAGACTTTTTAATGCACTCTATTGCACGATCTACGATTGTCAGTGTAGAAGTTTTGCTAATGGCCAAACATTTATTGGACTAGAGATTTTCCAACATCAACTGTGAATATCAATGTACACTTGCATCTAAAAATTGGATAACTCTGCTTAATGCTGATTAAAAGTTCTTTATATATTTTGCACATGAAGTGTAAATATAATTACCAATGCACATTTGATGGGATTCCCTGTATGATTTATTATAATATAATAAAAATATAAGCGAATTCTAAATCACAAATAATTAGCAACTGTTTAATAAGTAAAACTATTGCACATATGTCCTATGAGTCAAAAAAAGCAAAGGAAGTTTATCTGATGCAGATATTGGCAAATTAAAAAATCAATGATCAAATATTAATAGAAATAATTTTTTTGCTGAATATTACTTCAAATTCGATCACTCACCGTATTGGGTTGGTGACAACAAAACATGGTTCCGGGGTTTTCTAATCAAATTTATAATAACATAAAGATCCTTTTATAATCAAAAAAAATTTTGATACTAAATTTTTGAAATAACAGATAAATAACATAATAAAAGACCTTGTAAATCTGAGTGGAACGGAAACATGATAAAATTTCTATATTTTTCGACCATTTTTTAAAACCGCCCCATAACTAAAAAATCTTCTAACCAAAATATAAAAATAGTCATTTTTGGTAAGTCGAACTTAACTTTGTAGGAATCGGTGTATGAAATTCAGTTGGGGCATTATCGGAAGTTATCCAATCAATTTTGAATATTGCAAAAACTTTAAAAAAGATCGACTATTGATAAAATAATCGGCAATAATCATGATTGGTCAATAAAAAATTTGGGATTATTTATAAATAATCTTATTATTAAACATTTGCCATTGTTTCCTTTGATGATTTTATTGTAACTCTCTTTAGTACAATTACCTATTCCACTATTTTATTTATTTTGGGATTTGTTTCTTTTTAAACAAGTTTATCAATAATTCATTTACACATCCTCAAAATAAACACGTTTTCAGAAATGTTATTTTACAAAGAATTCAATCTGACAATTTTAGAACTCTTAAAGCTCTTAACTTTTATTATTCTGTTATCTATTATAAAATTCTATTATAATTACTTCACTCGTTCAATTCCATACCCGGGCCCACTTCCATTGCCTATCATAGGTAACATGTATCAATACTTTTATCATAGGAAGGATATTCCATCTTGGCTTCATCAATCGAGCTTGAAATATGGGGACATATTTGAATTGTATTTTGGATCTGATAAATGCTTGATGATTAGTGATCTGCGAATAGTCGAACGAGTAATGAGCCCAGCAAAGGATGGTAATTACTTTGTTCGTGTTGCGACTAGAAAAGGATTAGATGAGTTGCAGAAGAGCAACAATGGAATATTATTTAATGAAGATTTCAATTCTTGGTCCTATATTAGGAAAGTTTTAATCAGAGCCACAGTGTCACCTAGTGCTTTAAGGTTTGCCGTAACCACACTCAATAACGTTTTTCATGATTTAGAAAAGCTATGGGATAGTTTGATCGAAGAACAAGGACAATTTTTGCATGATGAGCAAGAAAAATCGGTAGAAATTGATTTTGCAACTTGGGCAAAAAGAATTTTCGCAGAAACTACAATGTTACTGATAGTTGGCCGACAACCTAATTTATTATCAACTTACTATAACAGAATCACAAATAAAAATAACATTCAAAAAAATTCAAATGAAGAATTTTTGGATCGTTTGGCTATTGCATCTGACTGTGTGCAATATTATGTATCAGTTCCATCATTCATACGTAATCTTCCATTCGTAAATATATATACAAATTACCTATACAAGAACATGATATGGACGAGAAATTATGCATACAATTTAGTCAAAGAGCGTAGAAAAGAGATTGAAAGTATCGACGATAAAAGTAAATTAAAACCTGATATGTTAAGTATGTTATTGATCGCTAATACACCAAAAGATATTACTCAAGGTATTTCCAACAATAGCGACAAGAATTCTATGACTGATAAAGAAGTTGGTGATAATATTGTAGAAGTGATTAGTGAAGGAATTGATAGTGTATGTACTAATATCAAATATTCATTTTATTTTTTTTAAGACAAATTGTTACTAATGATGGCTTTTTTAAAGCCCACAAATGCTTTATCATTCATTCTTCATTGTGTTGGAAATAATCCAGATGTTGAACAGCGTATTGTTGATGAAATTGAAAAGGTATTTGATCATGGAGTTGATTTTAACAATATCAATGAAGATTTAAATAAACTTGAATATATTGAAGCTGTGATAAAAGAAGGTAAGTATTCTTTTAAATCATCTAATTTGATTGATTAAACATTATTCATATTAAGCATTATGATATTTCTAGTGTTAAGAATCAGGCCTGTTACAGCAACGATTTCACGTTTCTCGACACATTCCGATCAAATTGATGAGTACAAAATTCCATTATCAACACAATTAGCGATAAATATGATGGGTTTACACAAGAATCCAAATTACTGGAAAGAACCCATGGAATTTAATCCTTCAAGATTTCTAGCAAATAGTAGCAACAGCAGCGAAGAAATTTATAATAAAAATGCATTCATGTATTTTGGTGGCGGGTTACGTATGTGTCCAGGTAGACAATTGGCAATAACCCAACTTAAAATGATGATTGTTTTATTATATAATAAATATAAATTTGAGGTGATTACTAAGGAACCTTCAATGCAACATAATGTTAATATTCAATGTAAAGAATTGAAAATTAGAATTAAATGCAGAAAAATAAAAGTTTATTAATTGATTTAAGAAGCGTAAACATTGTTTGTTTCGCCAAAATTTAACTATGTAACTTAAATCACATCTAGAATTTCTTTATCACTTTCAATGTCCATGATATGAATCTTATTTATTTGCTATAGCAAAAATCTTGATCCAACATAATCCAAACCTATAGAATTTCTTTATCACTTTCAATGTCCATGATATGAATCTTATTTATTTGCTATAGCAAAAATCTTGATCCAACATAATCCAAACCTATTTTTTATTTCCTCATCCTATGATTCTTTCGACATTCATCCTCAACTTGAATTAATCAACAGTCTATGTTCTGCTTGAAGTTTCCATATTCTAATGTATCAAAAGACTAGAATTTTTTTTAAAATTGAAAACATAAATAAATAGAAATCTTACTACAAGCTGGTTTGGATGGCATGTTTGCTCAATAGTGAAATTTGAGGAGTTACAATACTTGTGATGGTGAGTACGATCTCTCTTTAATAGGTAAAAGATGTGGCTTTCAGAACAATTTGATGTTTCCTTCAGATTTGTTCCAAATAGTTTCTGGTTTATTTCAGTCATGTACTGGAGATGAGAGAAACTGATCTATTTAGTAATCTGATCTTTGAAATTTGTTATTTAGAACGTACCACTTCACAAATCTTTCCATTGGATACTACATAGATAAACTTGATGAGTCGGACACAAATGGCTGGACATGGCGTCCGACTTATCAAGAGATCCGACTTATCCAAAATATGCAATTTTACAAAAAAAAAAATAAGAAAATCATGTTTAAATCATTTATTTATTTATAATAATAATTGAAAAAATAATTCTCTAAAGAATTATTTTGTATTCTATTAATTTTCCATTTTAAATCTTTTAATCCTGAAACAAATGAACTATTTACGTGTATATCATTATTCTGTTGCAAGTAATTATATAGATTTTGAATGCTTTTCTAAAGCGTTTTTATTAGGTATTGATGAGCCAATATCTTCTTCTTCTTCTTCTTCTCCTTCTTCGGATGCTTATTGAACTGTTGCAATAATTTCGTCATCATCAAGCATTTCAGTTCCTAAATCAGAATCAATCTCAATGTAACTTCTTGCTGTAATAATATTACCATCATTATTAACATTGATCTGATCAATAAGTAATTGTACTTCATCTATTTCAGGATTAAATTCCATAGCAATAGGTCGGTCAACTTCATTATCAGGTAGAATACCTGTTTTTTTTCCCAACATCTATCATGAATAATGACGAATTTTATTATTATTGGATCATGCATTACTAAAAATAGTAAAGATTATCTCTCAATATTTACGAAAATCACGTGAACCGATTTATCGAGAGTAATTTATTATTATCTGGCTGGAAGAGTTGTCCGACTTACAGCTTAACAAGAGTTTATATATGTGTCCGGCTTATTAAGAAATTTTTAAATATAAAAAAAAAAGGGCTGGAAATTTTTATCCGAGTTAGGCCAAATCCGACTTATCGAGTTTATCTATGTACCAGGTTACCCATGTCCAGTGTTATGTATTGAGATGGATATATAACAAACAATAATAAGTGATAAGTGCAGCTGGAAGACATCTGGAATTATTCTGGAGAAATTCCATGTCAAATCCAAACTCAACCCATCTAGTGTCTCTTCCCACAACTTCATACGATCATCTGCTTTTTTTGTTTTGCTACAGAAAATACGTGAACATTCAGTATATAAAAGCTCTATGATTTTTTCTCGATACTCTACCAACATCATAACATCAGGCTTTTTTCCCATACGTTCCTCATCCACTCCTATATTTCGTCGAGCCTTACTTGCTAGACTTTGACGTTCTGCCCTGTAATCGGTGAATAGATATGATGAGTATAAATTTTTCACTTTTTCATAACAAATGTTTTATCAGCTATCTTCTCACATGCTCAAGCAGGCATAGCCATTTGGAAGACCTCCTAAACTCGCCTGAAGTAAAGGAACTACACGTAGGTAATATATGTCCCTTCACTTTGATCATTGCGAGATTTACTAGATGAGAATGCTGGATTGCTCCATATCTCGTCACTAGATAATATATAGTATGTTGGATAGTTTTATCCTATAATTATTCGCATCATGATAAGTACTTGATGAAATTACTCACAGTACAGCTAGTATACATTCTGCTTTTACCAGCTCGGGTTCATTCTCTTTCCATTCTTTATATTTTCCATATATCTTGAAACACTTGAACCATTGAAATTTTCCATGAATTCACCACACTTGGATACAACCGAACCGGGAAGAATGCATTTCATATTTTCACGTGGTTCCTAGTAGCGAATGTAAATATATAAACTCAGGATATTTGAACCTAAACACTAAGTTGTTCTTACCAAAAAAATAAGCTTATAGCTTGGTCTCAAGCCTCTCACTATCTCTGAGTCGTCACTAAGTACCATGCTCCCTTCCAGAACTTTCCATGTAAGGTCTGAAGAGCTAATACTTTCCAAATTTATCCTAAGGGAAACATAAAGATTTGTATCCATTTCCAACACGGGTGCTAAATATAAAATCGTTATTCGTAAGTTTTTCAAACGTTTGCACAGAAAATTAAAATGGTCTAACACTTACCTCGAGTTTGGTCTTCAACATATTAAGATTCTCTTCTATTTTTCTCTTGAACGATCTGGAACTAGTTCCATAGCATATACATTGTTTAGCGTTTTTAAGACAACCATTTTCAGTATGTAATATGAAATACTATACCATATGTAACACCTTCATCGTTTTTAATCCCACAACATTTTTATATCCGATTTGCATCTACAGCAGATACAATAAAAATACCAGTATATTAGCTCTATGATTATGAAATTTTTATATTATGTCATTATATCTGCGCAGAACACAATCAGATATTCTAATTCTTTGCTCAGCACTGTTTCGGCTGGACAGTCACGCACAGCAATGGGGAGCAGAAACCTTCAACATCTTACGACATTGCTCTTCCAGGCCGACGCCCCAAAGCCTTCAGCCGTAACATACCAAAACTAAACTTAACATCCGCTGTAGACTCATCAGTTTATACACGACATAATAACTTTAATCTATCTATCACTAACCTGCGGAAGAATTTCCAATACTTTCGTTCTTAATAAAGATGGATCAATAATATTCAGAAAACATGCACAAATGTCCACCCAATCAGTAATTGCCAGCATTTGATATTTCATTGTCTATAAACATCATGGTAATGAAAGAGATTTTGCTGACAATATGTCACTTATTCAATCACATCACACAAATTAATGCCTTAACAGCTATAAGTTTTATTCTTTATTATATATAATACAATCTTATAATGGTATAGTTACCTCTTCAATATTTTGCAATGGTTCAAGATGTTATTAATGATTTCCATCAATGACCTCATTTTCTATTCCTTTAAAATCTCGTAAAAGATCCAACATCTCCTGTTTGAATTATAAAATGTTTGAATTATAAAACAATCCTATTGTTGAGTTATTATACCGATTTTTATTTCATATAAATGATTATTTTCATTTTATAGTGACCCAAAGACTTAAAGTACGTGGTACTAAATTTGATGAATTGGGTAATTGATAAAAATAAAAATAATAAATACATTATTAATTTTTCTTGATATATTTTTCATTATTATCATTTACCATAATCTATTTTTTTTTTGAAAAAGAAAAAATTTAATTAATGCAATATTGTATACATACCCTTTTATTAATAGTAGTCTATTTATT